CTCCTCCTCCCCGCGGACTCCTCGGGGGCGGCGCGCGGGCGGGGGCGGGGCTGCTCCTGGGGACCACCGTCCCCCGCCTCCGGGCGCCACCACCAGAGCCAAATCGGTCAGAGCCGCGCGGCCCCGGGAGGGGAGGGCGCAGAGCTGCGGCGGGGTTGGCGGGGAAGGGGCTGCACCGCCCGGGGCGGGGGGTGGGGGGGAGGAGGGCTGCGGAGGGGAGCGCTGCGCCGTCCCTGGCCCCGTTACCGCCAGCCTCCACGCCGGGCCCGGGTTGGTCTCGGGGCCGGGGTGGGGTGCAGTGCCCACTCCCCGAGACCCACCGGGTTAACGTTCACTTGGAGGCTGCCGATGCGTGAAGGAGGCAGGGGCGAGGCTTTCCCTAAGTTGGCAACGTCGGGGTTAACTGGGAGTGAGTTGGGGGTGGGATTCTGGGAGGACAGGATCCTGAACACCCTTCTATCTCTCTTCCCTTCCCTTGGGTCTCAGATTCTGGGAGGTCCAGATACGCCCAGTAATTCAGGGATGGGAGAAGTCAGATAGGGACGGTCGGGACCCCAAATCCTAAATTTTGCCCCCCCCCCAAAAGAGCTATGTGACCGTGCCCTGGCTTCATCTGACCAGGTTGACAGAGGCAAGACCAGAGAGGTGCTCCAACTGGGAGAAGGGAGGTAAAGAAACTAAAGCAAGTAGTACTTAAGTTAGACCAGAGGAAGAGGGGATCTTATAAAAAATGGGTGTTGTTTCCCTGCGAGAAAGCCCTCGCAGGAGATTGTCTCCCAGAAGCAGAGGCTCTGCCTGCCAACTGGTCCAGTGGTCGGCTGGGACAAATGCTACCTCTCCCAAGAGGCCCAGGGACTCAGTCCTGGCCAGTCAGTACCCTTCTAGTCCTCCTCCCACCACCCAACACCCACCCACTCACTGGTCTTTGCTCCTCTCTCTCTCCCTGTCAGAAAGGGAGACTCTTAGGGTGCCTGGGTGGCTCAGTCAGTTAAGCGTCTGCCTTCGGCTCAGGTCATGATCCCGGGGTCCTGGGATAGAGCCTCACATCGGGCCCTGCTCCGCGGGGAGTCTGCTTCTCCCTCTCCCACTCCCCGTGCTTGTGTTCCCTCTCTCACTGTGTCTCTCTCTGTCAAATAAATAAATAAAATCCTTAAAAAAAAAAAAAAAGAAAGAAAGGGAGATTTTTCCAACAGTGAAAGTTGGCAATTAATGTCTCATCATCATAAAGCAGACACACAACCCCAGCCCCAGAATCCAACCTGTGACCATCTCACCCGACAATGACTATTCCCCTTAAACACAGAGGAGGAAATTAACTCCGTTCTAATTAGGTGAGTTTGCTACAGACACCAATTTTCATCTCGGTTTCAGAAAGTGTGATCATTTCAACTATTTTTGTTTCTCACCACCCTCCCCCATCCCTACTCTACTAACAAGTCAAGATCCTGCCAAGATTTCCTTGTAAATAAAACTGTCTGCATAGGGTGTGATTTTGAAAACAGCCTTCAGGGGGACAGAAGAGAGGCCTACTTCTTTGTGGAAAGACGCCCGGCCTGGAAGGACAAAAGGAAGCATGGGGCCCTGAGGTCAGTATCACTGCCTCCCCACCCTCCCGATATCATTTACTTGACCTGTCTTGGTGCTGGCTGTGGGAGACTCAGATCTCTGGGACTGGACCAGTCGTCCAGGAAGCCTGGAGTGGGGTGAGGGGAAGAAGGGCTCAGAGAGGCGTCAGCCACTCTGCCGTGATGCCCAGCAGTCCTGGGCGGTGTTCTGACCCCAGCTGCCCTTTGGTTTCTTTAGCCCAATCTCTTATCAACAGTCCAACTCTGTCATCCCCTCAGGTAGAAGGAACCCCAGCAGGCTCAGTTCTCTGAACACTGAGCTCCTACTGAGTGCAGGTGACAGAGCTTCGGGAATACAGAGATAAATAGGATCTGGACCCTGCCCTCCAGAAACTGTTCAACTGGAGACAGCCAGGGAAGTCCAGGGGGCATAGAAACCCAAAGGACAGGGTTCTTGAGGGTCCAAGAAGGCTTCGTAAAGGGTATGCCCCCAGAACCAGGCAAAGTGAGAAACCTGAAGGGAAGGCATTTTAGGCAGAGCACAGGCAGAGGCCGGGCATGGGAAACAGTATGGTATGGCAGGGAGCTACGAGCAACCTGGCATGGCTGCCCATGGGAGCAGGCTGCTTCCCGTGAAGAGCTCGGCCTGCAAGTGACTGTTTGAAGGGCTGTGAGTTTCCTGAGAAAGGAGCTTCAACTTTACCGAAGGCCAATGGGGAGGCATCGAAGGACTGTGAGCAGCAGAGTAGTATTTAAAAAGATCCTTCTGGGGCGCCTGGGTGGCTCAGTTGGTTAGGCGACTGCCTTCGGCTCAGGTCATGATCCTGGAGTCCCTGGATCGAGTCCCGCGTCGGGCTGCCTGCTCAGCAGGGAGTCTGCTTCTCCCTCTCCCACTCCCCCTGCTTGTGTTCCCTCTCTCGCTGTGTCTTTCTCTGTCAAATAAATAAATAAAATCTTTAAAAAAAATAAAAATAAAAAAAAAATAAAAAATAAAAAGATCCTTCTGGGGGCATGTGGGTGGCTCAGTCGGTTAGGTGTCTGGCTCTTGATTGTGGCTCAGGTCATGAGATCCAGCCGCATGTTGCTTAAGATTCTCTTTCCCTCTCTTTCTGCTCCTCCCCCACTCGAGCCCACGCGCTCTCTCTGTCTCTCTCAACTATAAATAATAAAAAGATCCTTCCAGGGGCACCTGGATGGCACAATCAGTTGAGCAACCAACTCTTGGTTTCGGCTCAGGTCATGATCTCAGGGTCCCCGGATCAGCCTCGTGTTGGCCTCTGTGCTCAGCTGGGAATCTGCTTAATATTCTCCCTCCCCCCTCTGCCCCTCCCCACTGCATGCTCACTCTTGTGCTCTCTCTCTCTCGCTCTCTCTCAAATAAATAAATAAATAAATCTTTAAAAAAAAAAAATCCTGGGCGCCTGGGTGGCTCAGTTGGTTAAGCGACTGCCTTCAGCTCAGGTCATGATCCTGGAGTTCCGGGATCGAGTCCCGCATCGGGCTTCCTGCTCGGCAGGGAGTCTGCTTCTCCCTCTGACCCTCCTCCCTCTCATGCTCTCTGTATCTCATTCTCTCTGTCTCAAATAAATAAATAAAATCTTAAAAAAAAAAAAAAATCCTTCGGCTGTAATATGGAAAATAGACAGGAGGAGGTTGGCCTGAGCATAGGAAGATGGGAGATGCCATCCAAGGAAGAGGTCGTGAGCTCAGCAGCAATTAGGGGAGAGGGAGGATCCGAGAAGTCTCCAGGAGGGCGTCTTTTTCCTCTGTCTGCCCTAGGAACATTTCACCTGCACCAAAAGCATCCTAGGAAAGAATTCCCAACCGCTCACCGAAGCTTCCTTTCCCTGGCCCTCGCTGGAAGGAGAATGGCCGTCTGGCCTTATCCAACCTCCTCCGTGAATCTCCATTAGCCTTCAGGGTAGCCTCCGCCTCACCAGCCAGCCTGTTTCACCCCTCGGACCCAGGCAATCGGCAGCTCAGGACACCGCACCCCCCAGCAGGCAGTGGGACCCCTCTGAGGAATGGGAGTGGCCAGGCTGTCTGGTAGCTTTCGGGCCACTCCAGACTAGGATGACCTGAGGACTGGCACATTCAGTGCCACACTGGGGACAGAGGAGGGAATGGGCTGTTGGTGCCTGCTCACTTTCACTGAGTGGCTGCCGTGGGTCAGGCACTTGTTAGACGACTGTACACGGGCCCAGTCCTCAGAGAACCCTAGGTCTGCTGGGAGGTGACAGCAAACAAGGGCTGATTGGCTTTGACTGATATCCTGCTCTTCATTTTGTCAGTGCTCCACATCCATGACCTCTCTTAAAGTTCCTAACAAGACGCTCTTAGCGGCTGCAGCACAGGATCAGAGCCTGGGGGGAGAGCAGTTTGAGCTCCGAAGAGTCACACTCAGTTCAGAGATGAGCCTCGAAAATTGGGGCAGCTTTAGGGGAGACCGTGTGGAAGGGTGTCTGGGTGGAAGGAACCACCGCAGCAAAGGCACAGAGGTAGGAAAGCCACTGACGGCGTTGAGAGCAGCTCAGAGGGTGAGCTCCAAGTGGCCAGGTGGTGAGAACCATGTCTCGAAAGTCCTTGAGTGCCAGGCTGAGGAGGTGGGACCTTGCTCGGGGGGCGATGGAGAAGCAGGGATAGCTTCTAACTTGAGCAGCATTTTAGGAAGATCAAGTTGGCCCCAGCCCAAGAGTGCAATTCAAAGAACACTATTGCAAGTGTCCATTATTCACCAGACCCTGGCCGAGGTGCTGAGAATGCAAAGAGAGTAAGACCCAGGCCCTGGCCTCCCAGAAGAAAATCAGATAATCCTCTGATTACAGCTCAGGGACAAAAGGAAGGAGGGAAGAGGAAGAGCTGTTTGGGGGCCAAGAGAGGGCGGAGTTCTTAAGGATCTGATGCTCTGAACCTGGAGGCTAAAACACTGGGTTGCCAGTGGTGAGCCGGGAAAGCCAGAGGGAGCCCCTGGGAGGGGGAAGCGGAGTGAGGGGAGCCAAGGAGTTTGTGGACCACATG